CAAAACACCTATTGTGCAAATAAAATAAGAACAATAAATCTTTAAAAAAACAAAAAAGTATTCATAGTTGGTGATGGGGTGGTGTGTGCCTGAAATCGTAGCATTTACGAAGACAAAGACTGGAATACTAACAAAACCAAAACAAAAGTCACCAACTGTTCATGTTCTGTATAAAAGTATTCTTTTAAATAAGGTGCTAGTTTTGTTACTGCCATTGTTTTAGACATAGAAAACTTGGAAAGTATGCCTAATTTTCTTAAATCTTCTGCTTTGACTGGCTCTCTCCAATCTTAAAAGTTCATAATGGCTAGGACTTGATAACTTTTTGGAGATACTTGTGAAAAACTTTTATTTTTGCATGGTTTATTTATATAATGAAGATTGTATAATGCTTATGCCTATAGATTATATTTGTGAGTTCCCCAAGTGAGTGTAGTATATTCACTGATCTTAGTATGAAAATAAATATTATGCATAACTAAGTAGTTTTCCTCATTTTAATGGCTTGTATTAGTATGAGACAGTTATTATCGTTGATAAATCAATATTGACATACCACTATTAGCGTAAGTCCATAGTTTAGTTGAGCTTCATTGTGTGTTAGTTCTGTGTTTTTGTCAATGCCTTTTGTGTATTTGTCATAATAATAACAGACTGAAAACTTTTACTGCCTTAAAATTATTCTCTGTTCCACCTGCTTAGAACTTCCTTTCCCTTACCTTACTCCTAGAAGCCACTGATCTTTTTTTATCTTCCATAGTTTAACCTTCTTTGTTTCTTTCTTATTTATTTATTTGTTTGTTTTATTTTTTCTGTTAGTGCTGAGGTGCTAGGGGAAAGGTTGCTTTTTCTTGAATGTTGTATTAATTCAGCTTTTCTGGATTAGATTTCTTATATGGAAACATGTAACATTTTAATTACTCATTTGCCACTAAGACCACTTTGAGGTCATGGTTACTATGTATAATGCTATAAACATTTTTGTACAGTCTGTGTGTCAACATATATTGTTTTATAAATAGGAATTTATTGGCAGCTAGCCACACCCAGGCACTAGTATTGTCTTTTCCTACTGTCCTTCTGGAATTAATATTGAATATTTTTATTCTGGATATTGTATAGCCCAGAAACCTAAATGTGTTTTGGTCCCTTTAAAAAAGATGTTTGCTGACCCTATTGTCTAGATGAGTTACAGTTTAGCTTTTAGAATTTTTAGATTCAGTTTTAATAAAAGTTTGTGACTGGTATGAGACAAAGTTGTACATTTTTTAAGTGGGTCCTGTCTTTTGTTGGATAAAAGGTGAGGATCTTTTTAAAATTCTGTTGAGATTATTTTGGCTAATGTTTTCAGTGTGATTTAGAGCATTTTAGCAGCTATTCTTATTTCTTTCCTTGGTTTGGGACTGAAGCTTGTTTGGATGCCTCATGTTGTCTTAAGTTCTCCAATACTCTTTATATTTCTAAAGTAATTTTTTGTTGTTCAAATTATATAGTGTTTTAAATTTATCTTTTTCGTTTCCTACCTTTTTAGTGTAAGACAATTTCTCCTAGACAGCTTGGGCTGGTTGTGCCTTGGAATTTTTCTGGGGTGCTTTTCCATGCTGGTGAACTGCTATACTTGACTTCTTGATTCCACATTTAATTGCAAACATTCTTATTAAAATGATAATTCTGTTCTTTAATCCAGTTAGGAAATTTTTTTTTTTGGTTATTGTATTTTTCAGTGGATCACTTTCTAAAAAACAGTTTGCATTACTTGGCTGATTTTGTTGTTGTTAGTTTGTTGATGACATACACAGGCACACACATTTTTAAGGGAATGTCTTAAATAGCTTCTTTTAATTCTCTGATCATATTCCACCTCACCTCCACCCTCTTTTTCCTGAGGAAGAGTTTTTCTGTGTAGCCTTGGCTCTCCTAGACTAAATAGACCAGGCTGGATGGGAACTCACAGAAGTCCACCTGCCTCTGCTGCGATTACAAGCGGTCACCACCACGCCCTGCTCTAATTATGTTTCTTATAACAATTTTGAAGTCTGCTAAGTTCAGGTGCTGAGTTGATCTTGACATTTACCAGCTTTTATTTTTTAAGAGTGTCATAGTTTGCTGTTTCTTTATATGGATTTTATTTCTTTCTTGAGCTGTACTTTTTACATAGTCTTGTAGTTACTGAATTTTCTCTCTACAGGCTTTATTCTTTAACATTTTGTGTGCATTTCAGCTGCATAGTCTCTTTTTCCCACTATGTACTTCTGTTGATCAGACTTTTCAGCTCTTAAGAAAATAATATTTTTATGATTTTACTCGGTTTTCAAGGACTTCACTAAATGATTGCCTATAGTTGTACCTAAACATCATGAGCCCAGGGTATTTCACAGTCTATAGTGAATGGTTTGTACTTTGGGGAGCATATTCAAACAAGCCCACTGTGTTTATGCTTCACCTCTGCCTTTCTGTTGGGCTGTCTCATGTCTTTCTATGTGAGCACTTTCCAGCTGAGCCTTTCAGGCTGTGGTATTTGTAACTAACTTCACCTTTCGATTTTCAGTTTTCTAGCACATTCAGAGGCCCTCAAGTTAGTTACCATGGGATCTTTTGTGTCAGCCAAGGCAATGTGGAGGTTGAGAGTTTCTTTCTGTAGGATTTCAAGTCTAAGGTCCTTCCATTTCTGGGATTTCCCTACAAATTCGTAACTAATCCTAATCCTTAGGCTTTTGGTGTGCTCCATTGACTTAAGGCTAAGGAACATGTAGGGTTCTCTATTTTGTACTTGGCGATCTCCAGCTTTTCTGCTATGGTTGGTCTTGGCCTGGGGAGCTGGCAGGGATAGAGACAGCCTACTGATTTTAACAGGAAGTTGTTATCTGTCACACTGAATAGACACATTTTCCTCCTCTTACACTGACTTAAGTATACAAAAATCGTTTAAAAGCTTTATCCAGTTTTATAATTGTTTTCTGTGGGCAAATTTTATACTTTCCTGGAAAATTCAACTTCAGAACTTGGATTTTAAAATCTAAAAGTGTTTCTTTTTCAAAGTCAATTTTTTTTTTTCCTAATTCATGCTTTATGGAGATAGAGAACAAGTAAAATTTAAAACATGGCAGGGAGGTGCCTGGAGAGATGGCTCAGAGTTTCAGAACACTGCCTGCTCTTCCAGAGATTCTGAGTTCAATTCCCAGCGACCACATGGTGGCTCACAACCATCTATAATGAGATTTGGTACCCTCTTCCAGTGTGCAGGCAGAGCAGTGCATACATATTAAACAAACAAACAAGCAAATACATAAATATGGCAAGGAAGGCTGAGGTGATGAACCATGATTCACTCCTTTTCTGTGGAGGACTAGACTTTTTTCTTTGTAGAGATAGATTTATAAGCTCATTGAGGTTATTGGAAGGGTTTGGTGGGTCTGTGGAGAGTGGATTTGTTGTTTCTTCAGAGCAAGTCATCTGTAGTTGACACTGTCTTACTATATGTGATAACATTCATCAAATAGGTTTTATAGTTGTGATCCTTAAGGGAATTCATCCTAAATGTACCATAAAGATGGAATGGTCCTTAAACCCATCTCTCTGCCTTTCCCTTGTTCCTTATAGTTTGCATAACAGCTGATTCCATACCATGTCATTATTTGCAATCTCTTTTGATGATCTTTGTGTATTTAGTTTTGAAATTAGAATAGTTCATGGCAATTCTCAAATTTTTATTAGAAACCAAAATTCTTGTAATTAATAGTCAACCTGATTAAAGAGGAAGACCATGTTTTTCTGTGTAGTTACTTAGCAAACTAGTAAGAATCAAAGAATTAGATGTCCCATGGCAGTTTCTTCTGCCAGCTTCTCCCCCGCCCCCCCCATAGGTACAGAATCTGCCCAAGAAGCCCCTGCATTGCAGAGGGACTGGAGATCTATACGATCTGTTTATTTTGCAGTTGACAAGGGTAAAGGAGCTCTTAGCGGGGAGGTGTTTGGGTGCCCTGAATTAGTGGTATGTAGCTTAGCAAACATTTACTTTGAGATTACTTGAATTTAGTATTAAAAATAAACCCTTTTATGAGTTTTGTTTGTCCTACGTCAGTTAAGTGTCAGATTAACATTAAAAAGCAGTTATTATAATGCTGAATTTATAATGTCCTATTCAAAACAAATTAGACAAACATAAGTCATGCTTCTAAAACTCTAACTCTAGGACCATTGATATAAATAATACTGTATATATATATACATATATTATTAAAATTTCATTATAATGAACAATTTTAAATAATGTTTAAGATGAAGCAAATCATAGTTACTTAGATTATAGTTATATATCTGCTTTGTTTTTTTTCCTAAATTTGTTCGTCTTTAAGAGTCAAAAGGAACTGGGTATTATGGGTAGGTATGTGTCTTCAGGGGAGAGGGAGGTACTAGAAACGAATACATCCGTTAATTCTTTTGTTACTGTGGATGTTAATGAAATTTGAGTTGTACTGAGCCCAGCTTGTATCTGACTGTTAGGGTGAGTATGAGAGTGCAGTCGATGGTTCTCGTAGGAGACAAGATCAAGTCTGTAGGCCATGCTGGGCAGGTTTATAGAATAAGTGCCAGAAATGGTGGATGTATACAGGATCACATTAAAGTAAATGAGGAAGATGTTAATGCTCTGTGACAATGGCAGGACTCGGTAGGAGATTATAGCCATTGTGAGTAGTCATTGATGGTCTGGTGGACTTACTTTTGGGCATATTTTATACCTGGCAGTACAACAGTTTGGTTTATTTAAAGTGGTACACATTATGGTAACTGAAATAGATACTTTTAATAATCTGTACTTGTTTTTAAATTGGCCTCTTTCAAAATTTTTTTTGTAGATTTTAAGAATTCAACAATAAAATATTCTGTCTGTTATTATCAGTGTAAATAAATGTGCCAACACAATTGGAAAATATCTTTAATCTTAAACAGTTTAAATGACTTTTTATTTATTTGTTTATTTTTTTTCTGTTTTCTTTAAGCCATAAAGATGAGTTTACCATTATTCCTGTACTGGTTGGAGCTCTGAGTGAGTCAAAAGAACAGGAATTCGGAAAACTCTTCAGTAAATATCTAGCGGATCCTAGTAATCTCTTTGTGGTTTCTTCTGATTTCTGCCATTGGGGTAAGTTCTAGATTTTAACATATGGTAGATGTTATTTATTTGTGGTTAAAGGTTTCTTTTCATTCCAACCTCTGGTTCTCAATTCTTTATTGCTCTTTGGAAAGTTGTATTTGTAACAGTCATGTTTAAAAGTGAATAAAAAAAGGATCAGCTAAGGATATAGGCACATTTCCAAAGGCGACTGGTACAATTGGATTCACACTGTGAGGGCATCCTTGCTTTGGAACACTTCTGTTAGTGGGAGTTAAAACCTGCTAATCCCATATTTGTGTACGTATGTATGGTAAATTCTTTGAGGCCAGCTTTGGTAGAGAGAAGAGATTCTTCACAATGTAGAAGAGTACTTTGTGCTATACTGGTCCTTTTCTAATTTTCTTTTTTGTAATCAGTCTCTTTTTTTCTTTTGGTGAATATATTAATATATATATATATATATGTATGTATATATATATTTTGCCAACAATTGCAATCAGTTTTTTGAGTTACCCTCTAATATTAGAACATATAGGCTATTAGCATTGTGTTCTTCATTAGTAAGGACTCTTAAGTGGGTTTGTGATTACTGTAAATTAAGAGGAAGGATATTTTACAGTGACTAGATCATAAAGAAGTGATAAACTATGGATAACCTCTTTCAATAAACTAATTTTGCCTTTTTTGAGTGCTATTTGCTTTCATTTATCCATAACATTGTTTCTCTCTCATATATATGATATATATATGTATATAAAATTGAAAAACTTTTTTTTTTCTTTTTCCAAGACAAGGTTTCTCTGTGTAGCTCTGGCTGTCTTGGACTCTCTCTGTAGACCAAGTTGTGCTGAGATCAAGGGGTGTGCCACCACCGGCCAGCTTCAGAATATTTCTTAAGTTTTGTTCCTGTTAGGACATCTCTTTGACTCATTTCTTCACTATTTTAAGTCATACTTCTTTGTCCATCCTGTCTTACTTTAATATAAGGAACCATAAAACCATAATTTTTAAGATAAAGCACTAAAATGCCAGAAAACATCCTCAATATAGGAGTCCTGGCTTTTTCTTGTGAGAATTGAGTCAGCATTTTACCTGCCTTGCTTGTATTCTTTCTTGCATTCTTCTCTGAATAGACTTCTTAAGTTGTACTCTCAACTCTATCAGAATATGTAAATTATTAACACTGTGTTTGCACCAATTCTCCAGGAGTATGATTTTCCTCCTAGGGAAAATACCTGGAAATCTTTTATGATAAGGCTTCTGGTGTCAAATGAGTAGAGTACAGGGAAGTTGCCTAACATCTTAGAGTGCACTGAACAGTCCCCCTATCTCCATCTCGTGGAAAAAAAGGTCTCCTGAGGTTAGATACCCATTTTCAGAGTGTATGGGTAGCTGATCTTCCGTCTTAAGACTTTCTCTGGGTTTTTCAGTAACTCACTCAACTTTCTAGTTTGTACTATTCTTTCTGGCAGAAGAAAATTTTTATTCCTGTAACTATGTTACTTAGATTCTGGGGTCCAACTAGAGGCTTACAAGGGAGTTTTTTGTCTTGGAATTTAGTCATAGTTGATCTAAAGTAAGGAGTAGGGCTGCTTAAAGTAAGGATAAAGGGCTGCTTTTCTCAGTGTTGTGAATTTCTGTTAGTAACAACATGCTCATATTTTGGAAATAAAAATTATGAAGCAATTTTCTTATTTTTGAAGGCTTTTATGAATTGCTTGATACTATACTCTTGATCCTGTTCTCCAGATTGCTCTTTCTCTAAATTGGCAGCATGTGCAACCACAACATAAACCTACATAAAACAAATTTGGTCTTTTTGACTTTATTTTTTATGATGATCTTTCACTGTGTTACCCAGGCTAGCCTCACATTCACAATCCTCCTGCATCTGTCTCCTAGGTGCTGAGATTGCAGGTATGTGCCACCATGCCTGTTTAATATCTGTGTGGGGCCATCCTCTTTACCTTACTTATAAAGAATTTATTTATTCATTCATCTACCCTCCCTCCCCCCCAACTCTCGGTTTTTTTGAGACGGGGTTTCTGTAGTTCTGGTTGTCCCTAAACTCACTCTGTAGACCAAGCTGGCCTCAAACTCACAGAGATCCACCTGCCTCTGCCTCCTGAGTGCTGGGGTTAAAGGCATGGGTAGTGGTAGAATTCTTAATGCAAATGCTCCTTACTCTATAGTTGAGAGAGAGAAAATATGTATTATAGCTAACAAAGATTCTCAGAAAGTTACTTAGGCTGCTTCTAAAAACAATTTACTATTTAAGTGATAATGTAGGATTTCCAGGTGATAATTGAAAAAGGAAAGAAATACTCTCAATTTTCTAAGGCTGGTAAATGCTAGCAGTGAAGCCCATCCAGGCTTGTTTGTGTTTACATCAGTGGTGAAGTGATGGCGCTTTCCCGGTGCTTTGTGTTTTTAGCTGGCACCATCCCTAATAGTCTCATTAAGTGCTCACTTTACTTTCAGAAGATACTAATTCTTTCTGAGTAATTTGATCAGAAGTATGGGATAGTGTTAGGTGTGACATGGACAGTCTTTAAAAATTGACACTATAGGAAATTGTAATTGTCACTTTGTAAAGCATAACTCTTTTAGTTTTGCATGCTTATTAACCTGAAGCATTAGCCAGTTACAAGTTCAGCTATTTCAGGAATCAGATTTAATGTTTTTCAAATTTATGTTCCATGTCAACAATTTACCTCGTCATGAAGGTTTATGTTTGTTTCGTTTTTTTTTTTTTTTTTTTCTTTTTTCTCTCTCTCTCTTGCAAAATCTTGTCATCCCAGGCTGACCTTGAATTTGCATCCTCTGCCTGGGGTTGGGGGGAGGGCAAGTGGGATCACAGACATGTACCACTGTGTCCTGTTTTTTTTCTGCTTGTAAATTACATGTTGATTTTTTTTTTAAAGCATAAAAAAGCAGTCATAATGGTTAATTCTCAGTAATTTCAGAGGAATGATTAATTTTTTCATTACATAGAGACCTTAAAGGTTTCATTGCCTAAGGCTCATCATAATTCTAAGTGGCTTTAGAAGTAAAGATTACTTAATTGATTATGGTATAGTTCACTAATTCCTCAAATGGATTTACATAATGGGCCTTTGTCTTTATTGAATTAGCCTACTGGTATGACTAGTTTTTATTCATTTTCTTTTTTTGTCCAGCATTTGAGAAAAATAGTGAAAAACTTGTTCATAGAGATGCTTGAGAAGCTGACATACAAATTGGGAGTATAATTTTCTTATTGATCTTATTAGCTGGTGTCCCATTATAAAAATTTCTTCCTATAAAAATGTATTTTGCTTTAATAGATGTTCATTTTTAGAGAGATGCCAGAGGGATAAAAGTAGAGAGAGTAAAGTATTTTGGTATTCTTTTGGAGTGTAATGAGGTATGGGAGAGGCAGGAACCTATCAGCTTTGTCTTCTCAGTGAGGATCCCTAAAATATTTCAGGCTTTCAGTCTGTGCTTTGTATCTTGTCATCATCTTAGACATTAGAAAATGCATCTGGACCTTAATATGAAACCTTAGTTGCTAGCTTTTGATTTTTATCTTGGTTAAGTGAGTTTTAATACTTAATATACTTAACCAAGTTCTATTAATACTTAATATACTTAGCAAGTTCTATATGCTGGAGGATGGCTCTGTCTAGGAGAGGTTTGTCTGGACTTCTTTCAGTTCTTCTAATCAGTAAATTTTTATTCTGTTTCCCAAGTTTCAATTCTGATACTCTCCAGATAGACTGTATTTGTTTGTTTTGTGTCTTCTCAGAAATTTATGTTTTTAAGTTTAGATTATTGATGACTTTCACTAGCATTACTTTTAGCAAACTATTAACAAATTTCTAAACAAAATTAGACCTAACACATTGGAAGTAAAATAATCTCCTATTAATTTGCCTTTATTTTGCAAATCAGTTCCAATAAATTTTCTAAGTGCTTATGACAGTATTTTGTTAAAATATGGATATAATCTATTGTAGTCTTTTCACTTTAAAATATGTTTAGAATTATATCACTTCTTTCTTTTTTTAGAAGTTTGAGCTACTTACTCAAAGTGATTTTACCCAAAGTATTAATAAAATTCTACAATGTTCAGATTTCGTCTATACTGTTCATTAAGGGATTCATATATACTTTTATACATATATGCTTTTTTCCTGTTTTTTATATATATATATATATATATATATATATATATATATATATATATAT